AACAACAATCTCAAGTTCCATCAACAACAAATTCAGCAACAATAGCAGCACCATCTCAGCTTTATCCACAAGCAACAGGTAAACAACAACAACAAGCACCATCTATTGCAACATCAAATACAAATGCATCATCTGCTGCTCCTTCAGCATCGAATTGGCAAACATGGTTCAATCCAAAATGATGAAAACAATATAATTTATATTGTTTTTCCTTTTTTCAATGAGATTGATGAAAAGACACATTGAACTCATCAAAAATCCTTGTTTCATCTGTATAAATAACAGAAAAAAATAAACTGAAAAAAAAAAAAACAATGTTTCCTCTCTTTGTTTTTCGACACTAGTGCTTTGTGCCTAATTGTATTGTTGTCATTATATGTTTTTTTTTCTTTCGTCCTTTCTTTTCTACACATACATTCGTGCACTTTTTTTTTTTTGTTTGTCTCCTATATATAAATAAGGCGAAAGCAACATATAACGGATGTGTTCAATGGTGATAATTAACAAATTTGTTTATATTTGGTTTTCTTTTTTGCAGAATATTTTTTTAATTAGTATTATTATTATGGATATTGAACCTGTTATTATTCCAATCGAAGAACATAATATAGAAATTCAACAACAAGAAGATGATATAGAAAGTGATGGTTATGATCAAGCATTTCAATCGAGTGAATTTTGTCGTTGGAGAAAAAATGCTCTTTATTTATATAATATGCTTTTTTATGAATTACTTGAATGTCCATCACCAACTGTTCAATGGCTTGATCAACATACAGTTAAAGGTGATCCAAAATGTGATTATTATCGTTTAATTATTGGTACACAAGGTGGACGTACACCAACTGATTCTCGTAATGAATTAATGGGTATATTAAAAAAAAGCGATGAAGACCTATTCAATTATTATTCGATTTATATTTTCTAGTTGTTGAAGTTCGTCTTCCTATGTTAGAATACGATTTTTCTAAACAACCCGATCAAGGTTTTGATGAATTAACTGGTGAACATGGCGGATATGAAATGGGTATTCGAGGATCAAGTATAAACTCTTTTTTTTTTGTATAAAAACTTTTGTTATGAATTTGTTTCTTTCAAATATTCTTAGTGCATCCATATGTACCAATGTATCATATTGGTGATGTAAATAAAGCACGTGCTATGCCTCAAAATACATTTAAAATTGCAAGCTTCTCATCAATTAATGATGTTTTCTTATTTGATTATAGTAAACATCCAAGTAAATTAAATCCAGATGGTATATGTCGACCACAAGCTATTTTACGTGGACATATAGATGAAGGGTTTGCTTTATCATGGCATCCAATGCAACAAGGTTTATTATTAAGTGGTGCTCAAGATGGAAAAATGTGTTTATGGAATCTAGAAAAAATGCCTATTAATTCAACCACAACAGCAACAGTTCATAATGGTATTGTATGTAATACAATAATTGACCCAGTTGAAACGTTTGATTCAGAAAGAAAACTTGTTGATGCTATTCAATGGCATCCAAAGTATGAGAATATATTTACTCTAATGTGTGTTCTAGAATAAATTGCATAAAATCTTGGTGCGTTTTTTGTACTTATTTCCTAAACATAAAATTTTTTCTTTATATGCTAAAAGATAGAGAATTTCAAACAAGTCTAATCTCATCGACATCACTTTCCTTACTCTATCGAATGGTATAAAGAAATATGCCACAATATTCTTTTTTTTCCTTTGATGACATTATTCGCTTTTATGTACAATATGAAGACATTTATGACAAATTCTCGTTCTATAGTATTATGAAAGCAATGATACACTTTGAATTAGATTCTATTCGATAGCCTTTTTCGAGCTCTACAGAATATTACTATTATATCGAGGTTAATTTGTGAATAAAATATTCCACTCAAAGGTATAATGTTCGAGAGCGTCAGTCGGGCGCTGCCCTAAGAATGTCTAACTATGTAATTCGAATAGCAATTGACTTCTGACACTCGAATTGACTATTGAAGAAATAATAAGCCTAGTTTCGAGAGAAGGTCGATTTCATCTTTTAATAATTCTTTTCTTTTAAAAGATTCTCATGTACTCAGTCATTCAGTTGTGATTTTCTATTCTCTGTTGATGCTTATTGGTTTTTGTAAAGCCGATACTAAAAGTAAATTACTGAATATCAATAGATAGAAAGTTATGTACTCTCTGCCACTACAACCTTTACTAGGTTTTCAGAAAAAAGACTTGGAATTGGCCACCGTCGATATTTTTGAGTGCACTTTAGAAAATCATGTTCATTCAAAATTTTGTGCAATAGTTGAAAATTGTTCGAATCAAAAAACGTTTTTGCTTTTTTAACCATTGAAGTTGGACGACTAAATATCTTTAGGCATAAGAAGAAACTCTTTTATGATTAAAACACGATAGAAAAATACATTGAAGTTTACTGCAATTTCTTCTAGGCCATTCATTATATTTATGACAAAAAAAAAACAGTTGATTTGTTGTTTTTTAGTCATCCAGCTGTGTTTGGTGCAGCTGCTGCTTCAGGTACTTTACTTATAACTGATCTTCGTGCATCATCAGGTACGGCTGTACTTGTTGAACCATTAATTTCATCAACATCAACATCATCATCATCTTCAAAAACTCTTCAATTTCGTGTTAAAGTTCATTCAGCTGATTGTAATTGTTTAGCTTTTCATCCAGTTAATGAATATGCTTTATTAACGGGTTCGGATGATACAACAATTGCTCTGTGGGATATGCGTAATTTATCTAAAGAAGTTCGACGTTTTGAACAACATCATCGTGATGGTGTACTTGAAGTAACATGGAGTCCATTAGCTCCAAGTGTATTTGCATCGAGTAGTGCTGATCAACATGTACTTGTATGGGATCTTAAATCAAATGATGGAGTTATTTTTGATCATAAAGGTCATGATTCACGTATACCTGATATAAGTTGGCATCCAACACGACCTATTATTGCATCTATTGCTGAAGATTCATCATTTCAAATTTGGGAAGCAAATGCTGTTGAAAGTCTTATTAATAGTATTTAAAAATCAGATATATCTGTATTTGTCTTTCTGTTTATTATTATTTTTTTTTTGTATATTCATATGTAACTTAAATGATGGCTGTTCAAAAACCGATCTTGATATTTGATTATTGTTAAGTAAAAAGATTGTATTTGTTCTACTAGTCAAAAATATATATATACATGTACGTTCTCTTTTGAATAATATGTGAGAAAATATTATTTAAAATGTTGATTCTTTTTAAAAAAATATTTTTATGAATATCCAGATAACAAATATTTATTTCGCTCTAATCCATAGATCTCAAAATTAGATTGAGGAATGGTTTGTGTAATCATTTTTCTCAAACGAATTTTTTATTATTTTATTATTATAGATGGATGTTTGTTAGAAGATAAAATAGACTATATAATTGTATAATATTACAAATAGGTCACTCGAAGGAAAAGACTTGTGCAAAAATGTGTGACATAGATGACAATGGATTTATACAAAAAAGTAACATCGTTAATGTCTGTCAAGCAGTCTAATCAGAGGTGTGTACCGTCTACATCCTAACTTCAAGCATGGCTCATTTTTTTAAGGCTGCATCACCTCTGTCTCTCTTTTTATTTTGTCCGTTGAGCAATCGCACTTTAATAATGCCAGCCGTTAAATACTATTACTATGAATTTTTAGAAAAGAATGCTGACAAGTTAAGGGAAGAAATTTACTGGTTGATAGACTCATTCTTTTCCAGATACTGTTTATTGTATAATCCTATTTCATACTCATTTATTGAATTTATAAATCAAGTCGTAATCAATATTAATTAAAAATTATTTTGACAATAAATTGACCTAAGTCAAAACTTAGTGAATTTCATTGTGATGAGCATTACATTTAAATTTGCACAAATTTAACTACAAAATAAGTTATGACGGAAACGAAAACCCTATAAGTATATGTATTCGACTACATCTAGTCTAATTAAATATTATTTCGTGGTATTTTCAACTTTATGTTGTTGTTCTTATGTAAGTGTTCAGATATGAAATAATACTTTTAAAAAAATATTATAGAGCAATCAACATGAAGAAAAACTTGACGAAGAAAACATTTTTTCAGCTATCACTAAGCGCGGTGTACACACTTCTAACTCTAATAACTAAATTTATAAGTGCTATTTCCGATATTTGTATTTAATAAAAGATATTCACTGTTATCGTCTACTTCTATATGAATATCAACATCTTCGTTGTTTTCGACTTCATCTTCTTAATATGACATATAGGTTACTTTGACAAAGAATCATTTATGAATAAGCTATTCGAGCATTTATGAGTAAGTATATTCTGATAGTCGTCATACTTAACACCATGGTTAATGAAGATTCAGTTTTTAAAGCAATGATCATTTCTTTTATAACTATCCGAATAACAACAATCAATTAAATCGTTATTGGTAAATAATAGCTACTATGTATAAGTAAATATTCAAAAAACCAACATAAGACAAGTATTACGTATGCATATAATGAATGAATCATCACTTCTATTTATTAACAGCTGTTGTCTTTTAAAGTAGGGTTAATTGTAGTGGATTTTGGCTTTTATATGACCATAGATGTATTACATGATACATATATGTTATTGTGTAAAAAAATACAAAACAGCAAAGTACCATAGCCAAGTACACATCGAATTAATTATTATTCGTTGTTATTGTTTGAAACTTGATAGTAGATCTTACACTTAGAAATAACGAAACAACATTTTCTTTACTATTATTATATTGCCTATATTGATGCTTCATATTCAACGACGAATGATTGTTTTTTTTTCTTTTCGAAAATATAAGTAGAAATTTATTTCACTCTCTGATTATGACACCTGCTAACATTCACAATATGATGTTTTATTTTTTAAACTTCATTATTTATAAAAAGAAAGACATTCTATTCGATCAGATTGCGTTTTTTATTAAATAATGCTATTGTCATCCTTATTCATTACTTTTATTGTCGCCATTTCAACTGATGCGGCATTTGTTTGTCCGAGACCAAATGGTTTTTTTAGTGATGCATCATCATCAAAGATGTTTTATCACTGTTTCAATTCGATTCCATATCATAAACCATGTCCTTCTGGATTGTCCTGGTCACAAGTTCGAGAACGATGTGTTTTTATGTGTATGAATATTCCTTGTTCAGATGTGCATATGTTGTATAAAATTGTGTATGTTTAGCTTCTCCAATTGAACCAGTTGAACCAGTAGAAGAAATAACAAATGGTTGTTCTAAAGGAAATCCATGTCAAAATGGTGTAAGTAAAAACAAAAGAAATGATGTAATAGGTGATCGGAAAGCTTTTAGACAAGATGTTTGTTCACTTTTGACACTTATCCGACGAGTCACAAGCTATACGTCGTAACCACAGTTTTAATATGAGCTTAGCAATGTAGTGTCGATTTTTGTCGGACTTTTCAAAAGACTTCAAAGATTCTTTTTAATTTTGAGTCAACAGCTTTTTGTTTACCTTATAAGTCCCTTTTTGAACATGTTAAAAATTATCGGAGTTAGTTGTTTTCTACAGTGGATATTTCTCTAGAAAATAAGAAATAAAATTAGGCTGTAGTTTTTACCAAAACTATTTTTCTAGAGCGTTCTTCAACGTAAAACGATTGTCAGTTTTTCACAGATTATTCTACTACACGTGAGTAAAAATTCTAAGCCCATATTCAAAAAGAGCACAAAATCATAGCTTTTGACTTGCCGAAAATACGTCAGAAATGAACAAACATCACGTTTAAAAAATGTTCGATCATCCCTTATTTTATTATGACTCTGTGTATATAGGGCTCATGTGAACCTTCGGGCAAAGATGATTTGTTTTGCTTATGTACGGAAAATTATTATGGCTCTCGATGTGAACATGTTGGTGAAGGAGCTGATTTAAGTATATTAGAAAGCATTATCAGTGGAAATAATAATAATTATGAACATGTTGTTGAAAATGTTCTTAGTAGAAATAATTGGACTGATATTTTGGCTGTTGTTGATGTAACGGGTTCAATGCAACCATGTGCAGCTGCTGTTTATAAATGGATGAAATTATCTCAAGATAAAACAAAGAATATTAGATATTATGTATTCTTTAATGATGGTGATGACAAATCAAATTTAGCTAAGAAAATTGGTTCAACTGGTGGTATTTATGATATGGCTGCTAATAATCTAAATAAAGTCTTAGCAACAATGCAATCGGCAATGAAAAATGGTAATGGTGGTGATATTCCAGAAAATGATATTGAAGCAATTCTACACGGTATTGAAATGTAAGTCATACATTACGTAGAATTAATAAGAAAAAAAAATGAATATTGAATTTGATATTAGGTGTCCTACATGCACGAATATTATTCATATTGCTGACAATAGAGCAACACCACGTGATTTAGTTTTATTAAGTCAAGTAAAAAAACCTGTTAAAGTTTTGACTTGTCAAGTTGATGTAGCTGGTGTAAATCCTCAGTTATTAAATATTGCTGATAAGACTAGTGGATCATTGCATACACTTGATGAAGATGTTGTTAATTTATCAGCAATTCCTGTTGGTGAAAAAATTACCATTGGACGACGTACTTATCGACGTACATCAAGTGGTTTCGTTGTGGTTTAGTTATTCTATTTTATTATAAAATGAATCTGTACGAGTTTAATTTTCGAACGAGAACATTTTGATTTTATCAATTAAATAAAACTAACCATGAATGTTAATCTATGAAATACGAACATATAAAAAAGGATTCGAAAATATTGAAGTATGTTTACAAAAATTATATGTATGGCTTGGAAAAAAAAAACTTTTACCAAGTAACAACATTGTATATTCAAAAGAAAAAATTACTATCTTTTTTGGAATCATTGTGGGTCAGTATGTAATTCACTGAAAGTCACGTCATCGAAATGAAGGTCGCTGAAATTCGGCAATCTACATTTCGGCGATCTGTCAATTCGGAGATGTGGCTATCAACAATGCCTATTTTCCACAATCTTCATTTTGATGACTGAAACTATTAGCTATATTCTGAAATGATACTTACATTATATATATGTGATAAATATTCAGAAATAGCTAACATAAAGAATGATCGCTGGAACGAAACTTTCGAACGTAGATAATCAAAATGCATACGGTCACCTTCATTTCGATGATCTCGATTACAGTGATGTTCTTTTCGGCGATGAGGTACGCAATCTTATTTCCTAGTTTTAGCCTAAACGAATGAGAAAACGATTTATTGAATTTCTCGCTACATTATCATTCAAGAATCTGCATACATACTGTTTAATAGTGCGAAATGTAAAAAGAAATAAAATTTATTGTGCATTGCATTAATTATATGATTAATAGAAAGAAAATAAACTTTTTTTCGTTTCAAATGAAAATAGAAGGGCTCCATATGTATTTGATTTTCAAGTTTAGTTTCCTACTTCTAAAATCAATTTTTCATTCATTGTTTCGAAGCCCTATATATTTATACATTTCAATTTTATTTTTCGTCATCAGAATAACATAGCAATAAAAAATCAGTAAGTCCTCTCTTTTCTGTTGAAATATAGTCAAAATATTCTTTTTTTTAATAATAAAATATTTTTGATTTGACCAATTTTAACTCTCGCACATAGGACTAGTATAAAGATTATCACAATTCAATTAGTAATATTTTGTCATTGTACAGTATGAGTTCATTTCAATCAACTTGGGATGTCGACAATCATAACAGTCAATCGATTTGGGATGAAACGCCTACATTGTAAGATTGAATTTAACAACTTTTTGTTTTTAAATAATAGTTTTCATAGGGAAAACGAAAATTCCGATGCATCGAATACGATAAATCCTACGAAAAAAGTAATACTTCAACTTCTAGGAGTTGTTGGCGTTTTCTTTCTCATTCTTGCCACTATCTTACCATTAACCTTTGTTCTTACTGGTATCAATACAAATACGACAAGTAAGATATTACTTTAATGCTCACATATTTCTCGCATCAAATTGTAGTGTGTCTCTTTCTATATTTAAAATCTACTTCTCTGCAATATTTATACATTAATATTTTTTTTTATTAGGTACACCACGAATAGCAAAGTCGTTTGAAGTTGGTATGTGTTTAATTTTTATTCTCGCATGTGATAAAATACTTCTCTGTATCATCTAGATCCATATTTTTGTGGTAATATGACATTCTTCCATAGTACAGACTTTCCTGGTAATGATCTTTCGTTGTTCTTTCCAATGAACTATCGTACATGTTGTACGTTATGTTTAACAACAGCAGACTGTATAGCCTTTACATTAAATATTACTGGAAATATATGTTATCATAAGAGTTCTATCTCCCCTGTTAGTCGTTATGATGTGAGATTTATTAGCGCTAAATATTAAACTTGTTTGTTTTTATAACAGTTTAATATGAAAATAATTTTAGCGTGAATAAAATTTCAAAATAATATCTTAAGTTTTATATTTATTATAAAAGAAGCATGCCTATGTATTACAAACTAATTAGTTTCGACTTAATCAAAAAATAAAGAAATCATAGGTTCAATAGGTCATCAAACTAGCTCGCTGCTTGGAACAGACAGTCAATCTGTCATGTTTTCTCCAAATTTTCAATAACAATTCCATTTTCTTAAATAGAATATGTAAGTATTAAAATATAATAGAGCATCTTTGCCATTGGAAGATGAGAAATGTCTTTTCTTTTTTATTGTTTTCACTATGGACACTGATGATGAATTATATATTGTTACTGTATTTTTTATTATCCATGTATTTATTTAATTTGTTTATCCATTCCTCTGGTATGATGTCAACAGAAAGAAAGGAAAAATATCGAAAAACAAAAGTGCAACGTGATTCAAAAACACTGACTCTTTTTTGTGATATTTTTTCTGCTCTTTTTAGGGATTCAGTGTTTAGTCGAATTCTTTTTGTAATAGACATAACTCAGAAAAACTACAAGATACAAATAATAAATTCATTAAATATGAATTTGTGTGTTGAAACAATATATTCTCACCGAAAAAAAAAAACAAAAAGATCTCTTTCAGTGGCAGAGACAGAATACTAACTTCTCTATTGTCCTGGAAAAGGTGTTTGGAGAGTGTAGCTACTTTATTGGCACCGTGTATTCTTGATAACATGACAAATTTAGCGAGGGCACTAATGTTCTGGCTCTGCTGCTTCTTTCTCCCTAAAAGTTACTGTTGACTTCATATTTAGTGTAGCTATAGAGTAAGTAGCATACTCACTGTGGAAAACATTTTGATTAAAAAAGAATTGTTTTTCAAAGATTTTTTCGTTTTCATATGATTACTTTAATTTAATACTAATCGTAATTAAAACTAATGAAAGTGACGAAAGAATTGAGTTTGTACAATACATCATTTTATGAAAAAATACATAAATCTATTATTCTACGGACATTTGAATAATCTTAGCAAACTGACAATAATTCTCAATAATTTATACCTATTTAACCTGCCAACGTTTAGTAATATATCCTGATAATTTTAGATTATCATACTGTTTCATTATTGAATTTTTACAAAAGATCGAAACAGAGTGAAAATGATTTCTTTTCGAAGTAGATTTCAAAGCTTTTTTAGATTCTCATTTCTTCTAACTAATAGCAGAATGTTTTCAAAAGAAAGACACTCTATCTATTGCAAAAGAAATTGATTCAAAAACTGAATGTTATGAGCTCACAAAATGACACTTTCTCAGGGGATAAGTTTTTTGTTTTTGAACCACCCTGTAGAAAAGTAAAATATCTAAAGAAAATATCTCAAACCAAACAAAAATTAAATTTATTTTCATTAGAATAATTTATAGAATCAATAAAAAATTTATTGAGTAAAGAAACAGAATAGGAAAACTCACAATATACATCTAGATAAAATGTGACTAAACATAAGATGACAATGATTCATTCTTGTTTTTTATGCAATATTTTTAGAAAAAAACATAAGGTAAATCATAGAAAATTTCATGAGCATTAATATCATTATTTTCGTAATGTGAATATAAAGAATCAGATCAATTGTTGCATTCAAATCACTTTATACAACTAGTATCTTTTTCATTCCATCCATTCGTTTATTTAAGTTACTGTTCGCACATTCTAATTGATGTTTGCTATTACCGTACATAATATATTGATAAAATTTTATTATTCAATAATTGATATTTATCGGATCATTACATTCCGGAACTTCATATATTCTCTTCGACAAATTCATTGAAGATATTAAAAATATTTTTACTCAAAGACGAATTTTCTTTTTAATTGTTGTTTATTCTCAATAAATACATGTTATATTAAATCAATTACTATTTTATATAATCAAATCGTTTTGATATACATGACTTTCTCACGTTCTTATAAAATACAATCTTCTGTTTCCATTGAACTATCATAATAATACTACTAGATAAAAACAAATTGCGCAGAGTAGACTTAACTTTCATAAGCATGTTTAGCTTCGCATCTTTTCCTATTTCCGTATTGTATTTTACGAGCACAGTATCAATACATGCAAAATCACATTATCATTTATCAAAATAAATTATCATTAAAAAGTACTTGACTTGAACTATTTACGATCCACACGTGAGGGTAAAAATTGGAGTCAGGTCAAGTGCTGAAGTGTTTCGAGTAAAACTGGAATCCTAATTTTGACTAGAGATAAATTCCTACGATCTAAAAAGAATAACTATCTTTATTCAACAATATCTATTTTTAATTTTCATAAGCACTTTACAGGTCAATGTGCTTTTTCTTATTCATCGATGTCCGTAAAGGTACCTTGCTTCGAATGACATTTTATCGAACAAAAAATTTCCATTTTTTTCTTTACATGAGCATAGTTTTGTAGTCCACTTGTCTTTACAATTACATGTGTGGTTGATTGCAGAATCTGATTCCGATATCTTTTTTAATTAGACTGTAACGTAGACAGGTATCGATACGATGATTATGATTAAAATTTTCTTCGTTTTTTTTTCCATTCTACTTTTGGTAAAACACTGACTGAATAAATTTATTTCTAGTTGACGCCTTAGTTTTGTCCGAACAGAATTGAAAAAACAATTTCGCTCTCTCTTCTCCCCATCCTCGTCTCTCGACATACGTATTGAATGTTCGGTGAAACTGAAACACTCTACTTTACAATTTAAACGCTACGAATCTTTGACAAAACAACAAATCATTTAGATGTATCACAAAATTTGCGTATTTGACATTTTCACTATCATGACTGCACTGTATCGTATGCACAAATATGTATATACTCATTGATTAATGTACAAAAAGTATAACGAGAAAAAGAAACAATGCCTTGATGAAATTAGGTATACATAAATAGGCAAAAAGATAATACACGATTTAGAAAATAGATTATGGACTACAAAGTATGGTGTGGTGACTCATTCATATTCTCATCTTTTTGTCGTCATTCGACATAAATGAATTGCGTATTAAAATCGCTAATGAATATATGTTGTGTTGTAGAAGAAAGAAAAAAACAATATATAAAAGCTAATCATATGATAAATATTTTTTTTTCATTATAACTATGAGAAAAAAAAAAGATGTGAGGACGAAAAAAAATGACACGAATCGAACCAGTAATGCTTCACTTGACTGCACATTCATTTAACATATATGCCTTTGCAATATTTGTTTGTGTAGAAAATGTATCACCGAACGCATATGTTAGAGACGATTTACGAAGACGAGGAGGAGACGGTTTCTGATGATGATTTTTCGAAACCTCCTAATCAGTAAGTCATTAAAAATCAATTCATTTTCCAGAAACCAAATCTTTTTTTTCCATTAGACGATCTCGATTATCGTATTATATTTGTTTATGTATGATCACTGCATGTTTCTTCGTTGTTACTTTTATTCTAACAATATCTTTCAATCCTTCATATTACACTAATAATTCAAGTAAAAAAAAATATGACTTTTATTTTAAACAATAATTTTTATAGAAAGTGTACTCAATGCTGCATTGAACTCAAAGGATAAATTAAGATTATCAACAAAAATCATTAATCATCTTGGCATTTTTTCACATAAGGTAATGTATAATAAAACCAATCACGTCATATTTTATTGTGAAATATTCAATAGATTAATGAACAATTAAATTTTCAGCCAAATACATTAAAATTTTTTACTTCGACGATTTCGAATTCATTATTAGATGGTCAAAATCAAAATGATATACTTTGGATTTATGCTCATATAAAATATCCTCGATCATGTATTGATAATATTCAATACAAAGAAAATTTAAAATTAAAATTAAAAACTAGTTTTATGAAATTATCAAATTTTTTGACTAAAATTGAATTAGATTCGTATTATGGTAAACAAATTCAACTCGATTGGTGTAATTTAACAGGTATGTAATTATATATACCTATGAAATACAACGATAAAAAAAATAACTTTAAAAAATTTCATTTTTCACAAATAGAAAATTCAACAACAATAACATTAGTATCATTAGTATCGGTTAAAACTAAAAATCAAAGTGCAACAGAAACAATTATAACATTAGATCATAATATTTGTGGTATGTCAGTCGATTCTTTTTTTTTACTTAAACTTCATTGATAGAAAATATAGATCAAACTATTTTCGTATCAAAACTGATTGATAAAATAATGCGAAATAGTAATGTCTGATCTGATGATTAATGTATACAATCTTTTCTTTTTGTTCCATTTTAGAGGACTCAACAAGAAATGTTCCAATATCCGTCGTTTTGGATAATCAAATATTAACAAATCCGACTGGTAAAAGAAAAAATAATTTTTGTATTTTTTACAACTTTATCTTTGATTTATTTATCAGATATCAAGAAAAATAGTATTAAAAACGATGAAGCAATAAATATAAATTGTAACAATCCAAGGGAACATTCAAAATATAGTGATGATAATAATCAACGCAAGATATCAAATCATTGTTCTAATGATATAGACTCACAATGTTTCATAATATGAATTCATTTTAGTTTTTTTTTCGAAATATTATTTATTATTTTTCGGTAGTTTCTATTCTATTATCAAATAAAAGTAATATATTCTCTAAGATAGTATCTTGTGAATTTATGAATAAGATATAAGACTTATTTTAAATATGATTGAAAAAATAAAAATCGTTTTTGTAGATAATCAATCTCAGCTCAATAATAATTTCGAATTCTTTCAATATGATGTTGTAAAAAGTATTAAACAGAGAATATTAATTTACAGAATTTGATAATCGAATCAAAATTGGGGGTTACTTATGAGTTGACTTTGAAAGAAACAACAATATCACAAATATTCGAAAATATTGAAAAAGGTTTAGCAAAAGGACTAAAGAAATTTTCGATATTCAATAAGTCAAAGTCTGATGAAAATATGTAAGTTTCTCATATTCTTATTAAGACCATGCTTGTAGGTTTAGCATTACCAAATAAGATTTTCAGGCATCGCAGTATCTCACTACAGTAAACGAGAAAAAAGCAGGAAATCAGAATGGAGCGTTCATTATAGCTACCCTCTGTTGCAGGACCTGGATTGCTGAAGCGTCTACTGTATGTCAATTCTATTCTTAATTTTATTAATCTTATTGGATCATTATTGAGTGCTGATATTATTTACTCAGTAAAATCAAATACTTCGTTTCTGATTTTTTCTTATAAAGAATAATTGATTAAAAATTGTTGTCGTTCGACAAATTATAATACTTTGTATTTTTGCATTACTGATGAGTGCAGTTTAACAACTGCAATACACGAATTGGAATATTAACGTTCACTAAATGTACATTAATCCAATATGGAGCAATACTCCTGCCTATCGGTCACATTACGGTGTGGAGTGCTATCTATCGGCAAATTCAGAACTCCGATATCTTCTCTAAATTTAATACTAGCTGCCGTTTTGAACAGAAGGTCGACCTGACGCAGTATTCTTGCGGGTGTATGGGCTGTTGTCAGGAAGTCTGATACCAACACCCACTCACAACCACACTCTGAAGAGAAGGAACGCTCATTTTGCACAAAAAACGTTCTTTGACAAATTATTTCGTGTAACTATGAAATAGAGCTTTAATCGACAGAAAAACTTCTCCAACATTCAACAACAGAAGATAAAAATACGAAAAAGCTCAATTTTACGCTTGAAAATTGTCAGTAATATACTGTCACACTAATTGCCGATGAAATTTTTGCCTCTGTTTGTTCAATTAATGAAATGATAGCACGTGGTGGTGATATTGAGAAATTACTGAAAGGTTCATTTAGTTTGCCGCATCTTTACAACAAATTAAAATGGATGCTAAAAGAGCTATTAGTCTTGTATTAAATCTTGGTTAACAAATAAAACAAATTGTAATATTTTATACTCCATTGTCTTAAAACAAATTATTATCAAGAAAAATAAACTGATCAGTATATTATGATATAATTCTTACACATCAGAAAAGTATCTTTTGTTTAAGAGTATCGGCTGTCCTTTTGTTACTCAAAGCTTTTTTTGTGGACATTGTATAGTCTGAAATGATATCTATCTACTGAGTACCTGAAGACGGTTTTTGAACGTTAGAACATTCCCCGTTTCTTGAGCCTAGTATATTCGATTGAGCTGAAACTTTTTTTCATATATTCTGTACACTGTTTGGAATGAGTGTTTTTTTTTGTTTACAAAAAAGCATAGACTTTTTAGAGTATCTACGATATTTTGGCTTTTTTATTCCAAGGACGAAAAAGTAAAAAGATACCCATCCCAAACAATATCTAGAGTCTGTACAAAAAATTTGACTCAATCGAACATAGCATGTTGAAGAAACAAGAGAGATGTTTTTCACCATTGTGATCTCAGCATGTCATAGAAGACAGCATCCGGGATGATGACTTTTGCTCGACGTGGTTAGATCTGGCTGCTATTAAAATTTCAAATTTTCCTGATGAGCTGTTCGTCGGAAAAACTGGAAAGGGCGAGATCGTTAAACAAAACTGTTCGATTTTTTATTAAACCAACTGTTCATATATTTCTATTGAACAAATAAATACATTAATTGTTCATCATCTATTAGAAAAATCCAATCAATTGATAATGGAATGTTTTTTTTTCAAAGAAATTATACGAATAAAATGATTTATTTGAACTATCAATAACAATAAAAATCTAACTATATTTCGAAGCATATCTATAATTGTTAATTAAAAATTTCGCTTGAGTAACATCCCAATCCATTTGTTGTGCTTTAACTAAGAAGTTTTGATAAAGATGAACTGTTGTTGTTTGTAATCGATCAGTATCAATCCAAGATATATTTGATGACGTCAGTAGAAATTGATCAAAACTTTTTGAATAAATAAGATATTGAAGAAGAAAGTAACATTTAATTAAATCTCCATCATCACAATTATCCATTAAAATAACATCAAAACGTTTTAAATACTGATTATATAAAATAGAAAAATGATTTTTAATAAATTGATTTATATCAATTGATTGTACATGATTTTCATTTAATTGAATGCCAACATAAGAACGTATTGATTGTTGAACTTCCTTAAGAATTGGTTCATGTCGATTAATATATTTAATTGTTTGAATTTCTCCATGCTGAAAATAATATTGACATAATAATACAAAACGATTCCAATTAAATGTACGCAATTGTAATGTACGTATCGCTCGATAATTCGCATATAAATGAAGTGTTGTTAATACAAAGTAGAGAAACCAAACAAGTAATCGATCACGTTTTATTGTATGTAATAAAAAAATATTAACAAGTAATGCTAAAAGATTAACAAGTGTTTCTTGAGAACCATCTTTAGCTGATACATCACCCATATTATGAGCTATAGCTTGATGTTGTGTTAATGCAGCACGTGTGGATCCACCAGCTACACCAACAATTGAACGAGATAAATTCGATAAACATGTTATTGGTAATAATAAATGTTTAAAAAATGGTGCTATTAAATCAATAGATGTGGCTAAATCATTAAGAATATCAGCATAGAATCTCCACATTTTCAAATTACTATCAAGACCTTAAAAAAAACATTTATTTTATTTTTGAAATAAACGAAAAATTACCTGTGCCATTAAACCAAGCAAATAGAATTCTTCCTAACATACCAACACCATCTTTAATTAGCCAAACAAATGTAGCTGAAAGAACTGATGCTTTTTCGTCACCAACACCCATTCCTTCTAAGATAGCACTAAAAGCTAATGCATTTGTAATCGATGAAGCAAATGCTTGAATCGTATCCCTGTAAGAGAACTTTGGTCTCTTAAAAAAAACGAATAAAATATGAATTTACCATATTTGATAAGCAAGATAATCACTTGAAACTGTATTTGGATATCCTGTAGGTAAGAAAATTTCTATAAAAATTGAGAGAAACCATTGAATAAATGTTTGTTTTTGACGATGAATAGTTTTTGTTGAATCTGATGATATATGATAGAATCCTTTTGATGTTGAATAAATTCTACCAGTTAATTGACCACGTTGGATTTCACATAACGACATTTTGCATTTATAAAATTCATATGATAATGTGAGTGAGCATAGCAATTCTTTATTTCTAACCAATCAGATATATTTTTATGTGATCAAAAATTGTCGCTCTTTATCGGCGAACAAAAGTTTTTTTTTTTTTTTTGTGGTTTATTCAACTTATAAGCAATACTTTATTTTAGAAAACGAAAACAAAGGAACCATGGTTGCATCATCTTGAAACAAGTGATGAATGACGACTAAGTCCAAATATCATTGCACTAAAAGCAACTGTACGAATAAAATTAAGAATCGCCCATTTATCAAGTAATTGTTTGTTTAATTCTAATAATAATTCGACTTTCACTATCTAATTTAACATTGTTACTATCAACATTAATCGTGCAATTTATTGGAGCAATACAAACTAATGTAAATGGAATTGTTGAAAGAATAAATGTTGATTCAGCTATAATCCAGGAATTACAATAAAACCGTGTGGGTGTGATCGACTGCATGGGAGAAAAGAAGAGAGACATTCACATCCAAATTCCACGCCTACACCGTTTCTCGTTTTAAATTCACCGTCAAGTTATAGATTCACATACATCCTTTGAGTAGCTATTAAGGAAAAACTTCATACATCATGTAGTCATCACAAAAAGAGCCTGTCAAAAACAGTTAATTTTGCATGTGAAACAGAGATGTCTATGGCGGCGCGGCAGACTTTTTAACAATGCAGCCGTGGCAGCGGTGCAGTGATGGCACCCTATATCTGGACAACATTGCAAAATTGCATGAATTTGCACAAAAATTGAGTGTCCACAAACGTAACACTCTGCAATTTAATGAATCTCATCGATTAGTGGCAAGCATTGTATTTCAATACATTCACAGCGATGAAATTGGAAACTTTTTTCGAGTACCATCGCGGCAGCGGCAGATTTCGAACCGCGATGGACATCTCTAATGTGAAAAAATATAGAGTTATTAAAGGTTTTCTTCATCTTTTCTTTTTAATATTTGCTAAGTGTTCTACCCCGAACTACGATACACTGTTTTACGCATCGTGAAATTGAATCCACCGCACTGATACCGTTTTTCTCTTACGCCACACCATGACTATTCAATCATCGTTTGTAGTTGTTTGACATTCGTTGGTTTTTAGTTTTCTTAAGTCTTCATCAACATGGTTTCACAAGTTTTCGACCAAATTTATATCATGTGAACTGGCTGGTCATCTTAAAACATTAATTTTATTACTATTCAACCATACCATGGAATATGTAAATGTATAACGTGGTGTGTTCTCTTGCGTATAAATCCAATTGTTACTTCAGGGTATGGGTATGTGGTGTGGCTGCATTGCTGAAGAACAAAACAATACGCACATCCATACCCTTATCATTGAAAGAATTATATCGACTTTTTCTATCCAAATCCAAGAAAACGGCGCTGTAAATGGTCTTAAACACCGTAATAACAATATAAAATGTCGAATACCAGCGCCGTAACTCGTCACACTAAATGACTGCAGCAAAACTGGGGGAAAACAATGACTGCTTTATAGCCGTTTCCGGCGATCGAAATGAACGACGTGAATCGTGATTATATCGGCAATAAACAATGTATACTTGTACAAGGTGTAAAAACATTTGTAAATTTTCATTTAAATCATTAAAATATTTTAAAAATGTATCATCTAAAAATTTTTTTTGTTTTGAAATAAAGTTACCTTGCTAGATGTTAGTTATGAAGAATAAATCAATGTCTATGGATTAGTTATAAGATGCAGAGAAAAAACTAAAATGGTCTTTCTTTGGGTTATACAATACTTCCTTTTCTTTTTCAGGTGATTTTGTTATACTATTAGAAGCTATTTTCATTATGGTTTACTAGTCATAGTGCACAGATAATATGTACTTAGTAATAGAGATATCTAATGTAATTTTGATGTCACATACAGTTATTAATTCTATAAAAGTGTCGACATGTGAGATAGGAAGTAGTGATATGCAACTTTTAAACATAAGTAGTATAAAAATAATTTCGTATTTGTTTTCAACAATGACAAACTAACATCAGGAAGTCTGCAGCATTTTTATTATTAAAATGAAAGCTTCATCACGTAGGATATCTTATGTCAGAATTCGAGTATTTTCTGTATGAATTCTCTGCAAAGCTGGCTCTAGTTAGGCCAATCATAGATCAAGGTAGAACTCGACGAACTGACTCTATCGATCTCACTTGAATTAGTTCTTTGTTCCTATCAATAGGTGGACAGGTTTCAAGAGAACTCATCAGGATTCGTTTAGCAGCTGGGTTCAGTTAAACGAACGGTAGATCTAGATCAACCTCGATGTGTTCTATCGATTATCACACATCAGTCATTCAAATCGAGTGAGTTCTTAATGAGACAATGGCTAATCATTCTTTTGTTTGCTATACATAGGACTGCAAATTTTAAGAAAACTCATCACGATTAGGGATATGTCGACACCGAAAGGCTCGGTCTCGGTCATGGACAGTCTTAGTTAGGCATAGACAAAGATGAGTATTTTTTCTCTGTGCAGAACCTAAGAAACTCTGCGAGACTTTTGTTGCGAACTACTCATCTCGGTTTCATCTAACTGTAGAGTGCTGCACGGGTGCACTTTTTTCCACCCGAAACCGAACCGGAGCTTTTTTCCGTACCCGAGTCCGAACCGACCCGACAACTCCGTACCCGAACCCAAACCGGACCCGAATAACTCCACCCGGTACCCGACCGGCAGCCGTTTATAAGTATAACACACCCGGCTACCATTATCACGTATAATCAATTTCAAACTTTATTTCATATGAAATATCATACAATCTACTTAAATAAATAAACAACAAAAACACTCATCTGAAATTACGTAAAAAAATGTGGAAACCTCGGATTTAAATCCGAGTGTTATGGGTACTTCAAAAAGTAAAAACACAGAAGCAATTTCCGTTTAAGTATCTTTGCAATAGGTGACTTAGCCATCTTTTTTCTTAATGTTTTATATACCATTTTGTAGCCCGTGAAATTCTCTATCGAATGGTATGTAATAGCTGAGGTTTTGTTTGATTATGAGAGAAAAAGTTTTTTTACGAAAGTCGGGATAGGTCAATAATCGTATAGAAAAACATAGGGAAAAATGACTTTTTTTGCGATAACTCAGCAATGGCTCTACGAATCATTCTCATCTTCGAACTCGACGGAGACATTGATGAGACGATACTGTGTACAAAATTTCATCAAGATCGCACTCTCCTTTCAAAAGTTATCGTGTAAACGATCGGACACACTGACTGATTCTAGAGTGTACCACTTTTTGAGTGCACAATAATTTTAAGTACCTTGAATCTTGAAAAATAACAAAACAAAAACTTTCTTTTCATTTCTACGATTTCCTCTTTGGTAAAAGTGATGATCCAATCGGCTTTAATTATTATCCCAATACCTTGACAATAGTAAATACCAGGTTGAAATAGTAAAAATATTTTGAAAAGTTGAGCTGTCACTAATTGCCGGTTCGGGTCCGGGTTTGATCTTACACTTGGACCCGAACCGACCCGAAAAATGTTTCCCGAACCCATGGTCTGGTTCGGTTCGGTTTCGGGTACCCGACCGGGTTGCAGTACTCTATCTAACTGCTGGTACAACGGAACAGATCAATCATAGCGAAAAATATTTATGTCTCGGTCAAAGGAAGATGTGTCAAATAACGGACCTAGCATTGCAAAAAATCTGCACCTAATTTTATTCGCTTGAGAATCAGCAATGAACCCTGATTATTTTTCATAAATTCATTTTGTATTTTATCATAACTCAATTATTGAGACACTTTTTTATCGCAGTTCTGTTACAAGTCTTCACAATTCGATAGTGTTAAGTGTAAAAACCAATTTTTGACCTAAAAGTCCACGGAAATGCAAATTAAGTTCGTTCAAAAAATAAATTCATTTGATGCACAATTTGTTTCTCTATCCGCACCTATAAGGTTGTCTTAGATATTCAAATTTCTTTTTCTTGACGGTATGGGGTGTCGGTATGGAGGTTGTCTTTTCTTACATCTTCACCCACACCCCGCACCCTAATAAATCAAAATCATGTGATAAAATTATTGCTAGAAATTTTCAAGTCCTTCTTCCCGAAAAAATCGTATTTTGATTTTGCTTTTATTTTTTTTCTTTCAATGACTTGCTTTTGTGTTTGTGTTTGTAATGCAGAGTCTTGATAAGTTTTTATATTTCAATAAATAACACGGGACGTGTCGGCAAAATTAAATCTGCGTTTCTTTCATTATTCAAATCAAAGCACAACTATTCAGTATTTTATTGTTTTTTGACTTAGTCGATTGCTGAAAAGGAAGAGTTGAGAGATTTTCAGATTGAATTTGTCTTTTCCTCATAAGATAAATGCGTTTGTTTTTGATTGATTTACGATATCCACACCTACACCCTTGATGTTTATATAGATGGCATAATGGAGAAGGAAATATTTCAACAGGAAATGAACTTTGTTACAAACAAGTGAACTACACACACAGACTGAATTCAAAACCAAAAAGACGAAGAAACATGTGTATTTATCCAAAGAAGAGAAAAAAATAGGGATGATAATAGGTGAAATAAATAGACTAATCATATCTGACTAAATCAATCGTTCTTCTGGTGGTGGTTTTAAAATCATACTAAATTCCACACGTGAAGTTTGACCACTTTCATTTAATGCTGGTCTATATGTTCCTTGTAGTCGACGATTTTCACGTATACGTCCGATAACAATAGTTAATAGAATAATAATCATTAATAATAAAATAGCGATGCTAGGCCATATAATATAATGATATGAAAAACTAAGAGATCTTAAAAATTTTTCTTTATTTTCACATTGAGCTCCCATAAAGTTCTTTGGACATGCACACATATATCCACCTATCTGATTAATACAACTTGCATTATTTCGACATGGATTACTAAAACATTCATTAGTTTCTGTTGTACATTGCTCATCTTCATAACCTATTCAAAAAGAATAAAAATAACATAGATAAGATAATTTATTTTTACCTGTTCCTTCACAATTACAAATAAATCCTTGATGAAGATCCGGTATACATGTTGCATTATGTTGACATGGTATTGATTCACATGTTAATAAATCACAATGGAAACCTGTAAAATTTGTTAAACATTCACAATAATAATGTTCACCATCAGCTTTACATTGACCCTGATTAAGACAGGGTGATTCTAAACAAACATGTTTATTTTCACAATGTTTTCCTAAATAATGTTCTTGACATTGACATATATATCCACCAGGATAATTAATACATATTCCATTATTTAAACAAATATTTGTTTGATGGTTTTCGCATTCATTTACATCATATTGACATTCATCACCATACCATTGTTCCGTACATAAACATTTTGCTTTTCCATTTGATAATCTTTGACATGTACTATTATTTTGACAATTTAACATCAAACATAAATCACTTTCACACCATTTACCACTATAACCATTAGGACATTGGCATTCACTTTCAGGATTATCAACATAAAGATGAACACTTTTTAATGTACATGTACCATTATTTTTACAGGTGTGTAATTGACCAAAACATGTATCATTTATTGATTTTGAACAATTTGAATTTATATAATCATTGGTACAATTACATTCGTAACTATTGATTAAATCAATACAAGTGCCCTTATTAGCACAAGGAGATGATGCACATTCATCAATATTTGTTTCACAACTGAAAAAAAGATGAAAAAAAAAAAGGATTAAATATTCATATATTGTCTAAATTAGCTTGAACTTTTCTTCTATTTTCAGATATTGAGTGCAAGTCTTTTCTAAGATATGTTTTAAAACAAGAAACAATGGTTTTATGAAACACAATCTATATTGAGTGTCGTAACATCATGCTAAAAATTTGGACCCATACCCCATGACAAACGTTAATATAGGATCACAGACTGTATATCAGTAACGTCTATTTCGAACATATGAACTATTTCCTCATTATATTTCTAGATTATTAAACAAAAGGAATGGTGAAGAAATATACTCTAAAACCGATAGAATAAAACAGTCTTTCTGTGATTAGCAACAGCAACTACATCGTGTTTCATATTTTTATCCTGCAGGGATTCTACTAACAGCTTTATTTCTTTTTTAAGATTGAAAAGAAGTTATCAATTAAAAGTTTATTGATGTAATATTTTTAGGCTTTCGAATTTAGTCATTCGTATGATTTATTTTATCGTGAAATTTACATATATTTTCGACGAAAATAGTAAGTGTAAATTTAAATCGAGGTTTTTGCGACTCTCCTTCTTTTAGGCCCTCGTGGCTAGGAATAAAGACCAGAAACCAATAAATATATTTTTCCTAACAATGAAGATCGTAGGAAGTCAATAGTCAACAGGTAAGTTTCCATAAATATCGAGGACAACAAGGATCAGAGTTACTTAGCCGCAGAAAAATAGTTTCAGATTGTTTTATTTATTTCAATTCTGAAATAAGAACATCAAATCTACCGGTTTTTATGGGTGATGCAAAACAAGACTCGCTTTTACTATAGCTGTATCTTAGAATAGGAACAACGACAAGATCTGAAACATTCACAAGAAATTATTCTCATTAAGAACTATGCTTGGCCAAAGTTTCAAGTCGAAATTGGAAGACCAGTTTTTCTGCCAACACGATATTAATTTAAAAATTGCGTAAAAGTGCAGCATCTAAGCAGTAATAAGTTAAGAACCTGAACTCATTGTAGAATTTTCATAGCTCATTTGAATCTATATAGTGTACAGCGTCCCGTCTAAAAAAAGAAAAGCTGTTTGGGGGTTTTCATGTTTAGGTGATTCTAAAAACACTTCAAATTCTCCTTCAAAATTTGAATAGCTGAAATACGTTTGTAAATGTTCTACATAGTATAGTCTTTGCTTTTGGTACAGATTAAAGTTTCTATTCAAAATGTCAAGAATGATGGGTTATGATACATTGATTTGTTACGGTCGTCATCTGATCAACAACAAAAAAAAGCGTGACCTGATCAAATTATAGATCAATATCAATGTTTCTGAACTTATCGAGATACATTCTATTACATTGAGATCTACTGTAGATATAAATGATATATAGACAACAGACTTATTTGCCAGTTAATCAATGGTTAGAATAATAATTTTCATTTAATGTATTTTATATTAGGATCATGAGGCTAAATAAGACGTACGAGTTCCAAAATTTCATGCCAAAGAGGTTGTACTGACAAAATTTTTGTTTTTAAAAATAACCATTACTTTTTCTTACATTTCATCGATTAGTTTACTTACTATTGTCCAGTAAATCCTTGATGACATTTACATGTATAATATCCTTCTAGATGATCTTCACAAATACTATTTTCAATTGAACAATTATTTCCTTGCTCACATTCATTAATATTTATTTGACAAAAATCTCCATACCATCCATGATGACATAAACATTTTCCTCGATCAAAATCCTTAATACATTCACCATTTCCACAATTCATATTTTCACATATATTATTAAATGTACAATTATTTATGTGAATATTTTCAATTTGTTCAATAAAAAATTTATTTTTGCGTGTATCATTTTCATATATAATATCATTATAAAATGGTATATAAAGATTTTCTCCAATTAAAACATATTCTAAACAACCACGAAAACCATTTCCAATAAATATTTGTGTTTGACCATTTGATGTTAATAAAGATTTTAATGATAAATTTATTGTATATGTATATAAATAATTAATTGTTAATGTTGAAAAATCTGACCAATGTAAATGAAATGTTGTCCATTCTTCAAATACTTTAGTATTTAATTCAATAATAAGATCTGTTAATAATATTGAATCACGATAAATTAAATTTTGACCAAATAAATACAATGAAAAATAATTTGATGTATATAAATTTTTTATTGTTAATAAATGTGCATGTTGAGAACGTGCACGAAGACGAAATGATATTTCATTTGATATTTTTGATATTGAACTATGATGTAATGTTGCTATTAAACTACTTGAATTTCCTTCAAACGTTGCTGTCGATAAACCTATTTGATTTTTTTGTTTTGTTTTAATTAATAAGAACAAAAAATACAATTTTCTAATAACAACCGAAGAAAATACTTACATTCTTGATTTTCATCAGTAATTTTACAAACAAATCCATCTGGACAAAGACTGTTATTATTATAATTACATATATTTGGTTCTGAACAATTTCTACCAAACCATTTTGGTTCACATTCACATCTGATTAATGATGGAAATAAGAGAAGAAAAATAAAAATTTCTTTCATACAAAATTTATCTATCATTATTCACTTCTTTTTCTCTTCTCGATCATATATATATATATATATGTACATATGTATAAGTATTTGTATGAGACAAACAATACTGTACATACATATTGATGAGAGTCTTTCGACGAAAAAAGAAATAGAGTGTATTGTAATCATCATTCTGTCGCCTTTAAATTTATCTTTACTACATCTATTGTACTATTGTGTTAAGAGGAGAAAAAAAGGTGGGGGCGCACTCTAGTCATGAGAAGAGAACATATAACAAAAGTGACACAAAAGAAAAGGACAGTTGTAAAGTTTTAACTATGTACTCATAGAGTAACTAAGCATGAGAGAACATTAATTCTCCGCTCAAAGTTTAAAAAACTGTCAAGAATAAAAAAAGTCGAATNACTGGCCCCAAACAGTTTTAGTTTTGGTGTTTTGAGTATTGAGTTTGAGTTTAGGTTTGGATTTGAGTATCAGTTTCAGTTTCAGTTTCAGTTTTAATTTCAGCAACAGTCGTATATCAAAAACTTAGATACATAGGCCATAATCAAATCTAAACCCAAACCAGACCTCGTAGTCGTCCTATATTTCCTATATTTCCTATATCTTTAGAAATAGTGCTATAATGTCCTCTTTTTTAGTTATTGGTCCTATATTTCCTATATATTTCGAAAAAGTAAAGATTATTCTGAAGCGAATCATATTTCAGTCAGAAAAGATACACATTCTCCCGTATGTATTACCATTAGCTTCCACAATAAAACTGATGGCAGGTAGCGACAGTATAATACTATTTGATCGTGATGATAAGAGAAGTAAATTCATAACTAAGGAGTGATCGAAAGTTACAGAAGTCTTAATAATAGTGAACTGTGATGTCAAAATTTCGGGACCTAAAACGCGACTCCTACTATGAAATTTTCCAAAACATTTCTCGTCTAATCCAAACAAAAAAATTTTAGGCTGCAGTCTCGAATTTTTTTTGCACTTTGGCGACATTAATATCATTTTGGTGCTTAAAATTTTTCAGGAAAAAAGCGCTTTTTTGCTATTTGTAAGCGTGAATTTCTCTAATGTTATTAGCTTTTCTTGACACTTATTCATAATGCTAAATATAGTAGATATAATTTTTCATTAGTTAAATTATCAATAAGGAAGTTACGGTTAGGCAGAAGTAAAAAACCCTGACTGTTTTACGGATATAACTCCAATACTGGCTCCGAAAAAAATTTTTTCGGTCACTCCGTTGGAATCATAATTGAATTTTGGAGTCCGGTACAGTTCATTACTTAATTACTATTCAAAAGAAGAGAAAAGTTGCATTTGCTAAACAACTACAGCAACAAAACAAGAAACAAAAGACTTAAGTTAATTTAATCCTAATATCAAGTGAAAGATATTTTTTCCTGTCATTCATTTATATATTTGCAAATAATTATTTATACAACTTTTAAATCTATTCAATGTCAATAATCACGAAGATAGATATAGAAGTGACATTGGCGAGGGTGAGTACACGGTACCGCCTCTAACCTTTCAAATATGAGAACAACTTCCCATCATTTTTGGAAAATTTCAGGCGAACTTTTCTCCGTTGTCGAAAAGAATATACTTGACCGAACAAATGAANCTTTTTCACAGCGGCGGCTCCTAAAAAATTCATACAATTATCTACGATTCCGTGGCGGCGACGGCTCACTTTTCAAAAAAATCGGCGGCGGCGGCGGCTTAGACCGGCGGCTTACACCTCTAGTGGTAGTGTATAACAGGCTAAAAGCGCTCTCTATGTTGACCATGGTTATACGATATTCTTAATGGTTGAAACAAATATCCAATCAGACATTTACCCACTGTTTTAAATTTTTTTCTGATTTCATTATTTGAAACATACACATAGTGCTATATTCTGTTTGTAAGACAGAAACAGTAACTATGTCCTACTACGATATCAATTAGTCCTTGTAAACTTTTTTCTTATCTATTCAATACTTTCAATCAAATACATAGTTAAATTTCCTCATAGATAAAACAAACATTTCAATACTACTTGAGCAGAGGAAATTACTTATGCATTAAAGAAAACTTTATAAAACCGGAGTTCTGATCCCACGAAGTTAATGTTCAAAAGTTAGAAATATAACGAAAATCTTGGCAAAACTCAGAACCAGGCCTCGTAGTCGTCCTATATTTCCTATATATTTTGAAGAAGTAAAGATTATTCTGAAGCGAATCATATTTCAATCAGAAAATATACACACTCTTCTGTATACATTGCCATTAGCTTCCACAATAAAACTGATAGCATGCAGTGACAGTATAATATTAATTGATGGTGATGATAAGAGAAATAAATTCATAAGTAAGAAGTGATCGAAAATTACAGAAGTCTTCATGATAGTGAACTGCGATGTCAAAATTTTGGAATCTAAAACGCGACTCCTACTATGGAATTTCCCAAAACATTTCTCATCTAATCCAAACAAAAAAATTTTAGACTCCAGCTCCGAATTTTTGTTGCATTTTGGCGACATTAATATCATTTTGATGCGTAAAATTATTGCAAATGAATAAATAAACGACTCAGTAAATAGTGAACATTGTATATTACTGTAGAATTCATTATTCTTGGTGATAGGTTTTCAGAAACCACAGAAACAAAATGACCAAAAAAGTTTTCAGAAAAGAAGCGCTTTTTTGCTATTTGTAAGCGTGAATCTCTCTAATGTTATTAAATTTTCTTGAAACTTATTCATAATGCTAAAAATAGTAGTTATAATTTTTCAATAGTTAAAATATCAATAAGGAAGTTACGGCTAGGCAGGAGTAAAAAACCCTGACTGTTTTACGGGTATAATTCCGAGACTGACTCCGAAAAAACGTTTTTCAGCCACTGTTGGAATCGTAATTGAATTTTGGAGTTCGGTGCAGTTCATTACTTAATAACCACTCAAAAGAAAAGAAAAATTGCATTTGTTAACAACTACAGCAACAAAACAAGAAACAAAGGCTTAAGTTGATTTAATCCTAGTATCAAATGAAAGAGATTTTTTCCTGTCATTTATTTATATATTTGCAAATAATTATTTATGCAATTTTTAAACCTATTCAATGTCAATAATCACGAAGATAGATATAGGAGTGACATGGGCGAGGGTGAAGGCATAGTACCGCCTCAAACCTTTCAAAAATGAGAACAACTTCCCATCATTTTTGGGAAATTTCAGACGAACTTTTCTCCGTTTTCGAAAAAAATATACTTGACCGAACAAATGAAATAAATTCACTCGAATTAATCACACATCCATACACCAGTCATCTGTATTCAACACGTGTTGTTCACATGCTTTTCCATATTCTAAAGTTCCTCCACACCTGCATGGCCTCTTTGCGCCCTCCTTCCCCTAGTCAGAGAATATAAGTTGTTTATAGAAATATATTTAGGTGTTTTTTTCTATACATTTTTCTTACGTTCTATTTTATATTATTCTTATAAAGATATTAGTCAACAATATTTTAATAAATCAACTAGAGACTATTATATGATTTTTAACGTTTTTTGGATCGAACTCTCTTAAATCTCTTTTCTTCAGTAATTGAAATGTGTAAATATATATATATTCGTTTTCAATTAACTTGATAACTTCGAGTATAAACTGTTTATGATCGTAGGAGTAATTGCAATGTTTGGCAATTCTGCTAAAAACTTTCTTGTGGAAAAAAGTAGTCCTATATATTGCCTATATTTTTATAAACATCCTATAAAAATATTGCTTTTAAAGTCCTATATTTTCCTATATACTCAGGACGGATCGCTACGAGGTCTGCTCAGCACGTTCTCATCTGTTTCAGGTTGTTATAAGACACAAGTTCTAAGATAAAGTTTTTCCTAAGTAAATAAACAGGGAGATAACTTATTTTGTATGTTTCGTTTATCTTCATGCATGTTTGATAATAAATCTTTTTCAGATAAATAGTGTTAGTTTTGATGATGCCTTCTGTGATTTCTCAAACAGCATCAAAGAAAAATGGCTTACCAGATGATATTTTCGATTACAATCATGACCAGTTTTATACTATTATCGAACAAACATATGGTGTCGATCTTGCTGAATTAATTAGCTTCCAGTCCATTAGAAATGGTGAACATCTTCTTCAAGCCTCATCTGATGATATTCTATTGATCTTACGCCAAGATTCGGACGATCTTAGTGCATTGAAAAAAATGTGCTGTTTTCAGGTGGTTGGAAATAATTATGAAATCAAATTGGGTGTTAAACTAGCTGTTAATAATTTAATACATTCATTGAAAATGAAACAAGAGCAACAAAAAAAGAAGAAACGTCGTCCGACTCAACGTCTACCTTCTTTAGCTTCTCATCTTGATGTTACAGCAGTTACTAACCAAACACAGATGCAAGACGAAATATCTTCACCAGAATCTTCATTACTTGGATCATTAGCTAGTAGAAAAGTATCAGATGAGTTACAAGAAATTCATGTGAAAGAAAACTCGAATGAAATTCGCCATCAAATTGATATTGAACAACGAATTAATAAATGGTGGTCTAAAGCTAATGAAGATGAAGATTTGTCTCTGGATGTGGGTATAGACTATTCTTTGGAAATAAATAAGTCATTAAATAATACATATGCTTGCATTTTGACATGCAAATGTGGAGTTCGTTTCAAACTACCATATCTTATGCCGGGGTTGTTCAAATTGTCAGCCTTCTATCGACACATAAAAGAAAAACAATGTGTAAAAGTTTCGAAAACAGTGAGTATTTTTTATGCTAAAGATAATATTTCCATAGATTTCTAAGTTTCTAGGGACATCAAAAAGAAGATGATTCAATTAGTAATAATAATTTAACGACAAGTCATTCAAATTCATCTGATCATTTTTCCAAGCCTTTAAGTAAAAAATCACAGAACAATAAAGCATCAACACGTACAAATTCAAAACGTCTTCGATCACCATCGATACAAACATCTTCAACCAATAATGATCCTATTGTCAAGAAGAATCGACCGTTGCCGTTAAATACTGTAAATATCAGTCCGAAATAGATAATTTATAATGTTAGTTGAAGTTTATATAGTAATTCAGTTGTTCTATTCTTAAACATATGAATATCTGTAACGAAAAATCTTATTTGTTCTTATATTTGATATTACAAGTTTATTTATTTTCCAGCTTTATGGAACTATTATTCCACTTTTTTGCTTAAAAAAGGAACCCTTTGTTTTTTTTCGCTTTTATATTGATTTGTAAGATAAAAGGAACTCATATTATAATTTTTGTGTTTCAAACGAAACTATTTATGGTTGTACTTGTACTGATTTAGAATAAAAACTAATGCTTTTCTATTGAACGAATTGATCTATATAATTTTAAAAATATTTGTGCTTTTCTTATTCTTAGCTTATTAATCATCAGTATTTTTTGTGACAAAGAATATCAATTTTGTTATATTAATAATGAATATTTTTCGAATGAATGAATTAACCGATGAGATGATGAATTTAACTCACGATAAATTTTACGACTTCTTAGAAACTGCTTTGGACAAAGACTTATGTGAGCTTTTCCGGTTACAGTCTATTCGAGACATGTCATCTTTATCATCAATAACAGTAGATAAATTAATACAAATATTTAATTTCAATATTATTGAGTTAGATTCTCTTAAAAAAACTCGGTTTTGTAACTGTTGATGGAAATTATCATCTTCGACTTGGTTGTCAAAATTCAATTGAACGTTTACTGTTATTAGTAAAATCAAAGAAACAAGCACTTGATAAAAACTTTGATTTATTAGATAATAATGTGGAAAATGATATTGTAAAAAAGCTAAAAGGATTATTCAAACACAGACTTGATACATCGAATGAAATTGATGTTCCTTTTCTTGTACCATTGATTAAAAATATTTTTGAAAATTTGGAAAAAATGAAAAACAAATACAGCTATGATTATCTTATTCAACAATTTGCTTTGTCGTTATTTATTCTTGGTGGAAGAAATTGTTATGAGTTTGTCAGATTAAATTTACCTGGAGCAATACCACATATATCAAATATACAATCATTAACTAAAGAATGAGAAATGTCAATAATTGAATGTGATTTTAGATTTCAGTTATTAGGAGAATATTTAAAATCCAATAAATATAATTATGTATTTTCTTGTGAAGATTGTACTGGTGTTCTTTCTCGTATTGATTATGATGCTCAATCAAATTCTTTTATTGGTTTCTCATCGCCTTTAAACAACGGAATACCACAAAAAAAATTTTCCAAACAGAAAATTTTGATGAACTAAAATTATGGTTTGACAATTTTGATAAATCAGAATGTATTAGTCTTCATGTTATACAACCCTTAACACCGTCAGTTCCTCCATTCATTCTTTCTACATATGGTACAAACAAAAAGTTTACAGCATCAGATATTTTACAAAGATGGTTATACATTTATAATGAAAGTTTAAATCAAGATATTCGTACCATAGGATTTAGTACCGATGCCGACGCACCGTATATCCGTGCAATGAGATTATGTGCTCGGTTTTTCGCCGAGCTACCTAATATTTACATGTAGATTCTGGTGGTCGTGGACAAAGTATTTAGATGTTACAAAAAACACTAATAATGATAATAATTCACCATCAATAAAGAAAAAAAAAGAAATAGTTTTATGTCGAAAGTAGCATATTGGTGTGTTGAGATAAATGCTCGCACATTGTTATATCTCGTTTTATTAGTGATTAAACAAAAATTACCAATAGATGCATTAAATACTTATATGTTTAGTTCTCAACCATGCGAAAGTATGTTCCGTATTGCTCGTGCACTATCAGGTCCTTATTAATCGATTACAAACTTCAGTGTAAAATCATTTGTAAAAAATGTGAAAAAATATCGATTCTTAATTCAATTAAAGTTCATGGAGCTGAAGTAAATAATTGTCGTTTAAAATTTCCACAACATCATAAAATTGATACAAGTGCATATGATTACTCGACTAAATCTGTCAAAGAATTAAACCTAACGGAAAGTGACATTGAAAAAATCATTGAAAATGCATTTGAATCAGCTAAAAATTATGCCAAATTAGCTGACATGACTGAATTATTAACAAAAAGAAAAATTTATTCATTATCTGATCTAAGTCAATTTATTAAAATTAGTTTGAATCAATCATCCTCGAAAGTAGTAGATTATATGAATGGAGATGATTCTGAAGATGAGAACGATGAAAGTGAATTTTTAGATGAACAAAATAAGTCAGAAGTATTTGATGAAGAGGATCAGATGTCACCAGATGTTACTGATGATGATGGTAATGATCATGATGAAGAAGAAGAAGACAATGTTCTCGCAAAAGATCTTTCAAATGTGGAAAGGCAAAAGTTTCAAGGTTGTCGAATATATGATAAAGTTAATCCACAACACATTCATAAATATTTTCGGATGCAAATTGGTACTTCAACAAAATATGTACATAAACAAACAGCATGTTGGTTACTAACAAACGAAAAGAATCTTCTATCAGCTGATCGACTAATACGTGTTCGAGGATCTCGAAAGTAAGGACAAGTTTCTATTGAATAACTTTGTCTTTTTCTCCATTAGCTTTCTCTCTATTATTCATATTGTGAATTATTTTTTCTATTGATATATTGATTTTAAAATTATGTTCATTCTTTATGCATCTCTCAAGCACAGCTTCGCATCTATTATGAAAAACAAAATTAGATTCTGCTCTTTATTATTATATGCTTGAACTTATTTTCAGTACCAAAACGTGCTGACAAGGCGCTGGGGCATCAACAGTGTACTTTTCCCATGTAAACATAGTATAGGCAACTTTTTCACTCTCTTTAGTTCACACTCAACAGAATGAGGAATGATTGGAGAACATATATGGTCGACTCCTGCTCAAAATTCACGTATTATATATCGAAAATTGCTTATGCATATGTTACGGACGCTTGAAGTGTCCACAAACTTTTGTAACATATCTGGAAATAGTTCTTCATTAATCCAATACTGTTTCGTTACATCAGGAAGATGTACTGAAGCTATCTGACAAGGATATAAGAAGTATACTGAACATACTCTTTTATTTCGAATCTCAATCGGTAATGTAAAACATTCACGACAACTTGTAGGTAGTGTGCCTAGATATGATTTGGAAAGTTATAGATAGCATGTCCTGTTAGATCCTAAAAGTTACAAGTATCATGTTCATGTAATGCTTAAAAAAGTTGCGAGCATCATATCCAGAAAAGCCTCAAAAATTATATGTAGTATAGCCAGAAATTTTCTTAAGGTCACAGACAGTATATCTGACTGAACTACAAAAGTTAAGAGTATTATTTCCAGAAAAACCGTTAGAAGTTACAGGTACTATATTCAATTCACTCCTTCAAGTAATGTATAATATACGCAAAATTTCCCCCTCAAAATTACAAGAGTTGTTCAAATGGCTCAATTCCTAACTGAGAACTGTTGAACCTTCTCAGTTCTTATCAAAAGAATTATTTAAGCGCTTCATTTAGCAGTTAATCTGACGTTTTCAGCTACAGCTGTCATAGATCCAACAAGCACAAAATCTCAGCACCAAATATTCTATAAGGTGCTGAGGTGCCGAGAAGGTGCCGAAAAGGTGCTGAAAAGGTGCTGAGGTGTCGAAGGTTCCAAACCTGCACTTACCCCCTTGGTTTATACACATTTATTGTGTCATATCACCACCAAAATAAGCCTGATAATTCCAAGTTTGCTGGTCCGAAAGCTCATGAACTCGGTTTACCTCTTCCAGTTCAGCAGTGTTCCTTTCAAAAGTTAAAGCTATCTTAGACTTCATGATCATTGGGCTTGACAGTATTAAGCTTATTTTTGCGGTTATGTATCACAATAAACGAGTAGAAACCATAGCGTAAAATATTGCTGATATCAATGTCACAAAAAACGCGACAAATTAAAGTATTAAAAACGAAACGTTGGAAAGTGCTTCTTTGTGAAATCGAGAAAGGCGCGCTTTTTGTATTGGAATCAAAAGTTGTAACTTTGAATAATATTTATGAAGTTCGTATGTACAAATAAAAACTTCACACTCATACCTATCATCGAAAAAAATTGATTATGTACGGTAAATAGTGGAATTCTACGAATTTACTTCCATGCCGGACTTTTGGGACACCCTGTACATTCTTAATGAATTATATGCATAGGAATTTTCAGACCTCTAGTACCTATGATAGCTGAGATCTCCTAGAGTGAAGAATTTAATTTTATTCACTTCTGTATATTATAAGATTGAACTTATCATTGAATTGATTATTCACATATGCCCAAATAGATAAAAGCATTAATTTCTCTAATAACACTAAACTTACAATCGAATTGGTTATTGGTATGTACCTAAATAAAGAAGAAAATTAATTCATTTTATAAGGCAAAACTTACCTTTGATTTGATGATTGAGATTAGAGGTGTAAGTCGAAGGGTTGAACGGCAGCTACTCGTATTTACAAGCCCTTCTTTGACAGTGGCGGCGGCTGCGTTTAAAATTGAAGAATCCTTTCGAGAATAAGAAATTCATATTTTTTGGATCTTGTGGTTAGAAGTTCGACAATAACGAAAAAATGCTCGATTGTATAAGTATTTTTATCACCGANTACATATAAGCGAATACAAAGTTTATGCATCTGAGAACAGAGCTGTTGAAAAAATTGATTAAAGATTTGTCATAATAGACACTTGTAAAACTTCGTATTGGTATTTTAATACATAACAGATATCACTACTAGAATAGGCCAACATCAGGAATAAAATCAATCAGGATGAAATTTTAGAGTACTATTACGAGAACTTTTTGACTACCCTATGTATATAAACGTCTGAAAAATCTTTATTTAACAGTAAAGAGTTTTTGCTGAAATATTTTTGTTTTTTCTCAAGGTTTAACAAAGCTTAGACAGTCGAGAAATGATATTAGAGCAATATACTGAACAAATATCTACAGATCTTCATGTTCGTATTACGAACAATTTTTATCAACAGCATAAGAAATATGAAGAATATACGACAAATACAAGTGTTGTTGTTTTTATAATTGATTGACGTCTTTTCTTTTCAATATTATTTTTCTATATCTTCGTTTCTTTAAAATTTCGGTAACTTATTTCCATTTTTCATTTCTTGATAACCTTCTTCAATAATTCTTCTTCTATGCGCATGCTTATATATTTATCCATTCCTTGTTTGTGTTTTGTTTTCCTTTTCCATATCGTGAATCATCTACGGTTATAAATACAATTGTCTTGTGATTTTTTCTTTATCTCTCCGAATATAGGTGTGATGCATTCAATGCTCTATGGACTTTCAGTGTCTTGTCTATATATATTTCTTTCTTTCTTTCTTTTCTTCTGTCGTCGCTATCTGGACTGATCTAAGTCTTCGATTGTCTTAATTAAAATTTGAAATTTTGTTTTAGATCGTTTATCATCATTAGTTTCATTAGTTATGTCTCATTTTATCAATGAAATTAGAGATGCTGAAAATAATGTATGTTAAAAATTGGTTTTTATACGAAGAGTTTTAGTTTTTTTTTGTAATTTAGATTGAACGACTACGAGCAGCTTGAAAAAAAATGTGAAAAAGAATTTGATGATGCATGTAAAGCTGTTAATTTAGCAGAATCAGAAGGAAAAACAACTGAAGAAGTTAATGCATTAACAAATATTAAAGTTCGCCAGCAATTCAATCTCTTGCTTACTGCATTGGTTGCTGAAAATACCAGTGATAAACGTGATAAGATTATGAAAAAAGATCTCCGTAAGCTTCATTGTTGTTTTTATTTGAGGATGATCTATTTCTTTTCGAAATACCATATTTCTTCAATTAGAAAGTCGTCATTTCTTAATGAAATTCAAAAGATTTTTTCTAGAATGATCAGTGTAAAAAGCTATATAAAGAAGATTTCGTGTTTTTTTTATCGACTACCCACTGAAATACTCGACTGTGTTGTTGAGCTCTATCGAACGAATTAGTCCATTTTCGCCGAATTCCAACTTCTCCGAAAGAATTTTTCGCTCATTTAATGACCCTGAACCACACCCACACCTACACACGCACTCACACGTATACCTACACCCACACTTACACCTACACTCACATGTGCACTCATTCCAATGTCTCCGTCAGCGAAAAATTCTTTCGGTGAAGTTGGAATTCGGCGAAAATCGTCGTCGGCGAAAATGGAAATTACCTATCGAACTATATAGAAAAACTTTTAGGTTGTTTTTTGAATTATTCACACTTAATTAAATTTGTGTTAAATAGGTTTACAAAATAAAATTGGTGAAGTTGTAATTATTGATCTTGATAATGCTGGCAAAGTAAAATAAGAAGAGAAAAAAAACTTCTAATAAATCTTGATTTCTCTCCAGACAACTTTATTACATATGTCAAAAGAAAATCCACTTGAGGGTGTGGCTGTGGGTGTAGCGGGGTGTGGATGGGTGTTGGTGTGTGTCTTCTCTTGATCCACACCCACCCACGCCCACCCACCCACACACCCACACCCGCATCTATGCTATCACTTGCTATTTTTCATGCATAATAATATGAATACATCACAACGACCAATATGCACATGGTATTTCACTTTAAGTCGTAAAACCACTTTTTATTCAGCTTTTCTAAATGCTTGGTTCGACTATAACATATTGCAATCGATGGTAAACTTTCTGGTTTCAATTGTGGGTAGATGATTTGAAACATAATGCGCAATCTTACTAGAAAATTCAGTATTTCTTCTGTTTCAAATCTTAGGCATAATTCATGGTGGATTATTCTAATTACTTTGTGAAACACGGTGGAAGTGAACGCCGACGTAGTGAGAAAAGTGATACCACCATTCTTCATCTCGAAGGTGGCGACGACAGAGATTTGGAGAAATCCATACGACCATGCTAGCTGTTCACTTTACATTGTGTGTGGATAAAGCTCATACTTAATCCTGATCATCAGAGTTTACTCCATCTCGCTCGCTAATAATATTCTTGAGACATGATTTTCATGTATTGTGTAATCTGTCCAAGAAGTTGTCGGCTTGGTTAATTCAAATAACCATTTAATTCTCTATCATCAATTAGTTCTGTTCACTTGCCATTTACAGTACCAAGGTTATATCTTGTTACTGATTCTTTGTATCCTTAATATCTTCCAATCTTTCAATGGGACAGGAAATGATGATTACCAACAATATTCCGAATAAAGTTATTTAATAGTTAGATAGCGTGTGTGCATTATTGCCTACAATAAGTTCAATTTTTCACACTTACCTCTGATTGTTCACACTTATTTCATCTCGTTTGTTGTCAGATTTTTTAGAAACCAATATTCTTCTATAACACAAAAAGACCAGGTATGACTGACAGCAATCCCAAGGTAAAAAAGGTTTTCTTTTGGTATCATTTTAAACACGTCTACGTTCAACAGTAAGACTGTTTATAATGCGTCACACTATAAAAAAAGCTGTTTTGAATTGAACTAGTTTTTAAACAGCAACCTTAAAAAATCTTTTTTTTGTAATACGCGAAAACCTTATACATTTTTATTCAACTTTCAATATTAAAAATTTCCTGACATACCATTCGATATAGCGTAAACAGTATAATGAATTAGGATAAATTTTACTGAAGACATTTTGAACTTCATACTAGAAAAAATAAATAAAACTCGGCAACCTTGGTGGAGTTGGGATGTGTGAGTGTGGATTTATGCTTTCTTTCCACCTACGCTCATACCCTCTTTGAAGGCGTGTGATGACACGAAGGATTCTCAAAGTACTGCTCTTTGGTCCCTCAAATTGGTGTCATAATGGTAAGTAGTTGTTTTGATTACGTTTAAAATGACTTCATCGTGTTTTATTTTTTAATCTTGCAGGGATTACGCTGAAGACTTTGAAATGAAAGTAGATTTACTTAGCTACTGAGATTATCTCTAGTTGTAGACAGAAATAGGAATTTTAAGTGTGTCGAAGTTATGAAAATAATTTTAAGACAATTGTTATATTAAAGTATTGTTATGAGAAGAGAATATTCTACTTTTTATTCTCAGCGCTGAGACTATGGTTAATGTATATACGAAATTTTAGATGAAATTTTCATAAATCATCGATTATCAAACACGCTTTTCATTTCCGACTACTCACAAAGTAAGAAATCTGCGTCTTTCTACCATTTTCGATCCTGCCACTGTATTTTCTATTCTCTATAAAAGTAAATTAGAAAATGATTAGATTTAGTCGATTGAATCTATGTGCATGGCATCTTGCTCGAAGGTAATTATACTGAACTTTCGAAAAATCGAAGAACAAGCTAGCACCCAAACCGAAATAGACAGCAGAAATCATTACTACAATTTATCATCGAATGAATTTACCTTTTCTACTAATCAGTATGGTTTTAGTCTTCAATTGTTTGGTGAAATTCACTACACTGTCATTTACCATCATTGAATGTATTGTTTGGTGGCGTATGCTTTGCTTTATTACTTCAACATCATACAAAGCCAGGGATCTACTCGGCAAAGTGATTTGCTCGTGTTCACTTTTATTTCATTGTTGGAGTAGACAAATAATGAATTCTGAGAGTCAACCGACTCTGAATAAAGTTCCATTTCAAATACTCTCCATGTCTAGTATCATGTTATCTGAAGTAAATCTGCTGGATTTGTCTATGGATTTGTTTGAATTCCATCCACATATAGTGGCATATGCATTAGTTTGCACTTCTCGTTTTTATACATTGGTGTTTCAAGTTCGAATTAATTATAGTCATTATCTATTTATTGATGTTCCTACAACCGTTGATCACTGTTTATTACTATGCTTTTATGTCAACATCTGTCATAATTCTGATTTTTGGAACGATCTTTACAGTTTTCTTCGTAATAGTTTTGATCTGGAACGTTATAGTAGTCAGATTCTGCCAATATTCTAAACTTAAAATTTCCTATACCAGGTACCAAACGACAAATACCAAGTAATTTAAACTACGTTTTATTCTATCGTGGTGTTTCATTTTTTCATTGCATTCTTTTCGTTGTATTGATTATTACTGGAATCACTCTATAATTCTTCTCTGAACTTCGATCAAAGATATGACAGTTTGTCTGTTCCATATTCCATGTCCTTCCAATATCTTTAAATATAACTGGAGAGATTGTATCATATTTGTTACAAATATTCTGCATCGAAGTGTGACTGAAGAATAAAAACAAGCGCTTGTTAAATGTGGCTGTGGATGCGCGGGATCTAGATTTGAGTGTCACTATGAGTTTGGATGACTTTGAATATACAATTTACTGTCACATTCACACTTACACCATTCATAAGGAGTTTCTAATGGGTTTGGGTATCGATGTGAAGTCTAATTTCTGATCAAGAGAAGGCACAATTCACTCGCACCAATACACGTGCATATGATTTGATGTGGAAGTGCGGTAGAAAGTGTGATATTTTTCGTTTACTCATAGCCACTTTGACACCCACATCCGCACCCATGACATCTATTTCTTAAAAAGCAGAATTCGAAAAAAACTGATTTCACAAGAGCTGGAAAACAAAAAACATCTGGTTAGCTGAATTTCCAACTTCAAAGAATCTGATTGGATGAGAGCTAAATAGCGAAAACATCTGAGTAGTTGAATATTAAGGACAACAAAATTCGGTCGGTCGAGACCAGGGTGTGGGCGCCGGTATGTGGTTGTTAGTGAAGAAAATAGTTTTATCCACAACCACATCTCTAACAAATAAATAAGATATATTTATAATAGAAATAAATTAAATAAATTTTATTTTGAAGAACCAAAAAATGGAATTTTTGGTAAAACAGATTTTTCTTTTTTTAAAAGTTCAACAATTTTTTCAAAATTATATCGATCTTTTGCGTCCAATAACCAACAATTAGTCATTATTGCATAAATATTCACTGGACATTTTTGTGGTTGCTTAAGACGTTCACCTAAAACAAAATAATTACGTAAATAATAAATCCTCCTCCACCATTTGTCGGGTTTAGTAGTAACCTCTATGACTTATCTAATATCGTTTTTTCTGTGTTTTTATTAATAAACAAACGTGTACGCATGAACATTCATGAAAGACAGCTGTTCAGGAACTGGCGAATAGGAAATAGACATGCTTTAATACCATTCTGCTAAGGAATTACGCATAGTCTAGAAATGAAACAATGTGGATTCTTATTACGATCACAGAAATACGGACCAATCTGTAACTAAAAAAAATAGATATCATACAAAACTGAGGCAATGGTCAACGAAAATTACGTGAGAAGTTTTCGGATTCAAAAACAAATGCCAGTATGAGATGATACGATATCCATGATTGCAAACAATCATAAGATCTGAACTGCCTATTTCATAAAAATGAAGAGACGCTCATTTGGTTTTACATGGTTTGCTTTTTTGTTTCTTTCAAGATAATTGAAATATATCTTCTTCTATTTCGCAATGGTACATAAACTGCTAAGATGGAGTCGTCTGACAGGGTCGTATAGAAGTATCATAATAAACGCGGTTTAATATATCTATATTAAGATCGACGAAGTGCTGATGATGGATAAACAAAGTAGGTTAATTTTATGTAGGAGGAGGGATATTACACAAATCAATAAAAAAAAATTTACCTCGTTTTACAGCATCAATAACTAAATGATTATGTTGTAAATGTGCATAAGGTAGTGCTGCTTTAGAAAATACTTCCCATATAGTTATACCATAGGACCAAACGTCTGATTTATGTGTATATGGTCCTAAAAAATATATTATTATTTAATAATAAAAAAAAAAAATATGTATAATAAAATCTAAGAAACCGTTTGATAAAACTTCAACAGCCCACCAACGTACTGGAAATTCTTTAATGTGACTAAAATATTCTTCATCTTCATGAAGACAACGTGAAAGACCGAAATCACCAACTTTAACTCGTCCATTTTTGTCCACTAAACAATTTCGAGCTGCTAAATCTCTAATAATAAGATTGTTTTTTTAGACATATTTAATCTCATTTTATTGATATACCGATGAATAACATGATTACTTTCTAAATATGCCATCCCTTTTGCTATTTCATTACACATTTGAATTAATTGTGACACACGCAATTCATTGTTTTTCAAATAATCACTCAGACTTCCTTCTGTGAATATAAAAGGAAAAAAATCGAAAATAGAATATTTTCATGCCTTTAAATATATAATATACTTTCAACAAATTCCATAACAATCATAAGTGGTTCACAATGTGCAGCAACACCAATAAAATTAACGATTCTCTTATGTTTATATCGTTTGAGTAAAAGAGCTTCATTAATAAA